TGATAGAAATTAAGGACTTGAATAGATTATTTCAGAGTTACTTCCACCTTTTCATAGTTTTCCATTCTCATACTTCAGTTCTTAAAATCCTCATTTGTAAAAAATATAAAATTGTTAGATGTTTATTTAATATTATTTTTTATTTCTCTTTGGATGATTATATGTTCTTTAATCTATCTTTGGCTCTCTTTTATCTCCATATATCTCTATGATATATTAGGTCAACATAATTATTTATCTTACAAGGTTTTCCTCCTTGGTCAAAATATATATGATTTTAAAGACCATATTATTATAAAGATTATGATTAAACATTCAAACATATAAAACATAATCATAATTTTTTTTAAAGTGTGATTATAAAATAGAATGCATAAAATAACATTCAAACATATAAAACATAATCATAATTTTTTTAAAGTGTGATTATAAAATAGAATGCATAAAATACATTTATTAATGATTTTGATTATTTGTTAAGGAAATAACTATCTCTCTAAAAACAACTTGGTTTTGACATTGAAATGATGAGAGATAGTGTTTGTGACAATTTGTAGAATACTACCATTAAATAAGTAAATAGTTTGAGAGTGATAATTGTAGTCATCATCTTATTCATAACAAAGCAGTATGGTGTGAGGCAAGCAGTGTTCCATGGTATAAGAGATGAATTAATGTTCGTAAAAAAATGACTAGCCTTCATAGCCTTCTTGATAGTAATTCATATAATTATTTTTTCCTCTATTCACGAAACCTTTGAACTTTAAACAATCATTTCAAGATGGTATAAGTAGCTGATATTTATTTAAGAGTGACAAATAAGTAAAATGAGTTATTAGAGTCATATTTAAAATGACTGGAGCAATTATTGCTCAAAAGTTAGTAGAGGATAACAACTAATTTGACCATTATAAATCTCTTCGGGCAATCCAATCATTTTTTGTGGATGTGTTAATGCACAGGTTAGAGAGTTGTCTGAAGTTTGATTTCTCTTTTTATGTTCATTGTTTGATAGCATTGTTAGATAACTTGCAGCTTGGATAATGTGAACACCCTTCCAAATCAAATATGTGAGATATTCATCACCCAATCCAGCTGAGATAGAAATATTATTTTCAACATGCCCAACAATCAATTAGAAATAAATTTCACTATCTTATAAATGTAGCTAGCATATAAGGGTTTTTCTCTTCCTCTCTGGTGGATGTGATGGAAAATAAAAGAAAAATGCTAAAAGAATGTCAGGAAAATAAATGCGTGTGCTAAAAAAGGGAGAATTTTATCAAAATTGTTTCCTTTCAAATTCTTGTTCATGCAATGCTTTCTATTGCTTTGCTTTCCATTCTAGCAACATTTTTGGGCCCTTTTTAATTAAATGTTCATAATCCTTTTTCACTAAGACATACATCAAGTTGGTCTTTTCTTTCCCTTTATTTCACCTCCCTTTAAAAAAGGTTATGCAAAAGCACTTTCTTAGGTACATGACATACTTAATTAAACACTAAGGATTAATATTAATTACGATTGATAACACCACATATTACTTATTTTTGTTTTTCCTCATGAAATCTCTCTTTCAATCAATATTGCTAAAGAGCTTGAAGAGTGGAGACATTTTTCTCTCCTCATGTTCCTATTAAAGCTAACAATCTCCACTAACTACAGTAATGGAATGCTAAATATTTTTCTTAGTTCTTAATTTTCTGTGCACTTAATAGAACCAATTTTTAACACATGACATAATCACAAATTATAATAATATTAATATGAAAGATATATTTTTATAAAAAGTAATATGACCATTAATTTCTCTAAAATATAATTATGAAATAACCTCTTAGTTTTTTAAAGCTCTGTTGTTTACTTACAAAATTATGATGGGAAACTTGATATATTATTTTTCAAAATGTATCACTATTATGTTAGAAGTATGATAAATGGTATTTTCTTAGGCATAATCTTGAAACTTAATACTAAGAATAAAATTCAAGTTTTTTTTTTATTTAAACATTTGAGGTTTGCTTATTATTTTAATAATGACTCATCCATGTCATTATCACTATTAAGAAGTACAACTAATCAAATCTGATGAAAAATCACAGTATAAGTAAATTTGCGTCGGCCAAATCCGATGCAAATCGAATGCAATTTCGACGATATTTTAGGTATATCGTCGGATTTACATTTTCGCGGGTAAATCGGAGGATGTTAATCTTAATTCTGTTGATTTTGCGTCGAAAAACTTCGAAGCAATTAAGTTGCGTTGGTTTTTGCATCGTAGTAGTGTCGGATTTGTTTAGGCTAGACGTCAGATTTGTTTAGGCTAGAAGTCGTAGTAGCGTCGGATTTTTCTAATCTACTAATAACAATATCCCTATATTGCCATCACATTAACAACAAACCCAATGCATTACCCCCACTTTATCCAATCAACATTAATTCTTGCTAATAACATCCCCTTAATATATTTACATGCCTAGCAACTAAGCTCTATTTTTTACAAAGATTTTCACATCCCTACCGCTCAATTCTTATGTGTGTGTGTGTCTGTGTTTGTGCATGCATGTATGACACACACACACACATGCCTAACACCTAACCTTTAATTTTTACATACATACAACATTACCTATTTAAGAAGATTATCATATATAAACACCAATTAACTCTTATGTGTATATAATAAGCCTAACACTTAAACCTCAATTTTACATACATAACAACATTACCTATTTAAGAAGATTATCATATATAAATACCAATTAACTCTTATGTATATATAAGCCTAACACTTAAACGTCAATTTTACATACATACCACATTATATGAACACAGATATTCATACATTTCACTCAATTCATATGTATATACATACTTAACACCTAAACTTCAATTTTTATATGCATACCACACTACCCATGCATGAAGATTTCCATACAAGCCCTATGATTTTTGTACATACCTAACACCCAAAGAATACCTATCAAAAAATACATTTCACTTTTTCAGAAGTTAAAATGAGAAAGAGTGGCACAAATAGACTTTCCTTCCTCAATGTTTTCTGGTATGAGCGGAGCAGAAGGGTGAGAAATATGGGAGTTTCGATGGCCTCAGCAAGCTACCTTCCGACCGCAACTTCATAGCTAGCTCTAATGGAGGCTGCATCACAAAGGCTCGTAAGCAAAGGTAATGGTTTTGAGCGAAACCAAACAGGAGGGAGAAAGGTGGAGGCTGCGACGGTTTTGGAAAAAAAGGGGGAGCACGAGAGGCACAGAGAGAAGAAAAAATTTTGGCACGCGTGATATGTATTTTAGGTTTTTGGTGTCGACTTTCCGTCGCATTTGTGTCAGATATAATTGAACACTAATAAGTAAAATACTTTTGTCAAATATGTCACAAATCAATGCAAAATATGTCGCAAATCCAATGTCTTGTTGTTTTAAAATACTTTTGCGTCAAAATATTGGATGCAAAATCGATGCAACATCAGCCGCAAACATTAAATTTTATTTTTCTTCGCTTAATAGTTGCAAACCCGACACTAATATTTGCGTTAGAAAAATCTAATGCAAAGACCTGATGCCAATAACAACTTCTTCGGTCATGTGAAGAAGGCAATCAAGAAATGGGCAATTATGCCCATCAAACTATGGAGGCCCAACATATTAATTAACCTCTACCTCTTCTTCTAATTCCTATGATATCATGAAACAATAAGCATGCCTCCATTATAAACTTCTAATTACTTATTTTAGAAGTTACAAAATTTTGTCATAAACATTAGAAGTCCATCATAAACATACAAGATATCACATAATCTTACAAACATAATTTTATTTCGAGTGAAATAACATTTAGCTACAATTTGCTTTGTTTATCCTAAATAATTTGTTGGAGTTGAAGTA